TGACTGTGATTACATCAGCATACATAATGAATCTGGAACTTACTACAAATTTCTAGAATGTTCCATTACCTTCTATTGCCTCCTACAGTGTTCTATTACTTATTCAACCAGTTTCTAAAAAAAATCTAGAATATTCACCCAGACACAGTATGGTTCTAGAACATTCTCAGTGACACGAAAGTGGTAAATAAGTCGTATGCGACACACATGTGCTACTAATAGAGAAAATACGGTATATTTTTTAAGACAGATTTTAAACTTTTGACAAAAATAACCATGGACAAGAGAGAAAAAAGAATCATTTACATCTTTTTTGATCTTTGTCATTTTGCCACACATCTATTACTCAACATGTTCCATGTCTCTATTACTATTGTTTTCAGTGATTAACGTATAATTAATTGGGTTACACCCACCTGCGTGTCCTTTCAATTTACAAACCATATTCGCTGTCACCCTATTCCATACCCGTACTCTGCCGTCATCGCTTCCAGTCACCATTATCTCCATGTCAGGTGAAAAGGCACAACAGTTAACCTAACATTTTAAGTAAGAAAAACCAACATTTATTCCAAACACACTGGTTCTATAGCTATGACTATAAGAGTATAATGGAGAGGATTGGAGAAAACAATGCCAAGCACCAATTCACATAAACGCAGTTTGAGTCACATGCTGCTGAGCAGCTGCCTCGGGAGCCCTGGTGGAGGCAAGAGACTAAGGTTACTACTAAGGTCATAGTGTTGTATCTGACAATCATTTCATGAAAAAAATTATGTTATCAAAAATAACACATGTATATTAAGAGAATCAGTCAATGACTGGTCACTTGTGTGTTGTTTACATTCACTAATGTTATAATGATTTTAGTATACAGTAAGTGTCAGTATGCACAAATTCACAAATACAACTGGACTGGACAATAGAAAAAACCTCTGTGTACTAGGACGAACAAACACATATATAGGTCCAGTTGAATGGCGTAGAAATTTAAAAGTTATACAAAGTGGTCTGTGGTTGCAAACCATCTATGTTTAGAAGTTGTAGTTAACAAAATGTCAGTAATGCCACTAAATTAAGGTTGAATCCAATGTTTAGATCAAAATTAAATCAACATTGACATGATAGTTTATCGATGTCACTTTCAAACACTTTCCTTAGGATGCAAAAAAGGGATATACTACCACAGACAAATTTCTGGTTGTGTTTCTATTGATCAATTGAGAATGACCCCTGCAAAGTTTAAATTTAAAAATTACGAGCACATAATTACGGGCAAATGAATGAATGTTACTTTATTCCACCAGAAATAGGGGAGACGTTCACGTTAGAGATCGCGGCATATGCCGAGACTCTGGAACGTGTGTGCGAACGGTCGGGCCGAGTCAACACATGCCGAGAAAAACTTGACCTCTGTCCAGATTGATGCTCGGCATGTGCTGAGATCCCATAACGTGAACGTAGCATATAAAACAGAAAAATTTTGTTGCATCCTACTTAGTTTATAAATGTTAATTTGAAATATGGAGCGATAGTAGGAAAGTTGCACTAATTTTCGCCACCTTGCCCAGTCGGGAAGATGTATTAGAAACAATCACAGGATATCATGAAGTTTCAAATAATAAATAAACTTTGACATTTAATACACGGTTGCATCAACCGCTTATTCACTATGAGGTATCCTCATTAATAAACTTTTGAAAATTATTATTAAACTAAATACAGAATTCAATATCAAATGCAAGTCCTTCTCATTTAATTGTTACCAAAGTTCAGGAGTACATTTAACATCTTATCATATGATTTATCACTAAATTGCATTGCACCAGAAAGAGAGAAAACAAGTATCTTGCGAAAATACATTTAATATTCCAAGTAAAAAATAAGTATTCAACAGTATAACAATCAACATACTACATGTATATGATAATATTAACATAATAATTATTTTATTAATTAATATTGTGAACACGGTATACAAATTCAAAGTAAATTGTTTGAAGCAGTTATGTTGGCACATTGGATTTGTTTACTATTCAATTTGGCGGAATCAATACGTGTGCTTGGACCATGGCACACTTCAAAAGTTAATATTAAGTCGTAATTTATTTTGACACATGGCGTATTGGCAATATACGCAGTGACCGGCCGGGTTCACAACACAAACATTGAACTGACTTGAAAGACTGAGCTAAACACCTGGCCAAACATCAGAAAAATAATTGCATTCGTAGACCTACCTCGTCTTTATGTCCGTCATAGTTCCTCAGATCAACGTGACAATAATTGTCCTCAACGTGTTTCGACAACATATTTACAAGTTGACAGGAAATTAACGATATAAACACCAACACGAACTCCAAATCAGACGACAGCGGGCATATCGGTAACTTTATCGCTGTTGTCTGCACGATCACTTCACAGTTACAGCTGCACTCGTCAAGTGTGCAATACAGGAAGGAAGGCGATATTTTACGCACTGTGGCTTTACCTTAATGTCAATATGAGGTAAAACGACACACTCGTGGTTTCCTAAGTGACATGATTAATAAACTATTGTCCAATAAACCATTACTGAACTCATATTTGCGTAAATCTTAGCAAATACAAATGTTTTGCCGTGACAACAAATCAACAAGTCACTACCGTGAAATAGGGTGGAACCTCTAAGACGCTATAATCTTGCAATATGGCTGTTGTATATTCTTACAAAAGCGAGGACAACCCCAATGTTCACCCGGTAATGATTGAGTTTTATCTAACACAATTACTATATTCACTTCCAGTAACGCAAAAAACTAAGTATTGCACTCAATAAGCCATTGGCAACGACCAGTAAGATAGCTCGTCTATCTGTGGATGTATTTGAAAACGAGGCTAGCGGGAAAATACTTTTGGACTACGGCAGTCAAAGATGGTCACAGTCTAGTCAGCTGGCATCGGTGTCGCTGGCTGTATATGATAAAGGGAAGTTGTGCAACCAAATTTGCCGAGTTCGCAGTTTTTCACCAATAAAAAAAAATAACTAAGGCAAAAACTCACGGTTTTTCAGCATTTTTGTAATAAAGACATTATTCTCTATCAATAATCCGCCCAAAACAGGAACATTTCTACTAATTCTTGTGTTTTTTCGACGTTTTTTGAAAAACCTGCGATTAGGCTGCGAAAGTAGAACATTCCGGAGGGGTGAAATGTATGTTATCATTCAATAATATACTGTCAGTGAATTTATAAAGATGAAAGAGTGCAATTGTCGCGCCAAGAATAAAGTTGGGTCTCCCGCTGATTTAATTTGTTTTTATTATTCACTAGTAGTAACGAACGTCAAATTTCACTCTTGATTAATAAACGAAGGTTAACGTGCAGTGCGACGTTTGGAGTCATGGGGTCTACGCTGGAGTTGACAACAAAACAAATGTTTTCTTCAATTTGTGGATAAAGTTAGCCAAAAATGAGGTTCGAATTCACAACATTAACCACAGCTAGCAGAGACTCTAACGACTTAACTATTACGTATGGATTCCGATTCTTGGGAAATATACGACTTGGAATTGTCATATTGATTGTCACATGATTCCGTAAGCAAATAAAAATCGCACAGTATGTCTGGTTTACAGATATAACACCTGCAACACCACAATTTTGTTCAGAGTCAAGTAAACACGCGTATTTGAGTGTTTCGGACTTATACCACAAAAAACACAATCGAACGAGTCCCTCTATAAGGGAATTTCGATCACTATATTTTTTTTACAAAACAAAACAGAAATCCCAACTTTGACAGTGTGCTGTCGAATACTTACAGCGAACTTACACATAAAAACAAGTGTCAGAAAAAATGGATAGTTAACTATTAGAGGGCGTACATCAACATTATCAAAATGGCGACTCACAGCGAAGCACACGAGTTCACCGGAGAATTCGAGTTTTGTCCTTCCTGTGGATCTATCTTACCTCTCCCTGGACACGAACAGTTTGTGTCTTGTCAGACGTGCAGTTATAAAGTTGACGTAAGAGGTAAGTGTCACTATTTCCCACAAGTTAGGCATGACAGGCGAGAGTCCATTGCAATGTGTCTATTGATAATCGTAAGTCTCTGACATAATCCGACATTTCAACAATCCTTAGTGGGTCGGCAACTGTAGACAAATTATTAGACATGTTTTCGTGTTTTTTTTTCTTAGATTTTGATGGTATCGAAGTACATTCTAGTATTGTATTTAACAAAAGACAGATAAGGTCCTCAGAAAAATCAGCAACCAGCAATTTACTGGATGGACCCAGGGTGGGTAAACAAATAAAAAGAAATTAATGCATATTTACTACAATCATATATACAAACTGCATTAATTTTTACTGCCTAATCTTATGTTATTTTAACGTTTTGTTTTTTTACTTACCTTTTTACCTTACCTTTTATTACTTTCAGCCAGAAATGAATTTGTAATTTCATTACGGTGTAATAAAACTGTATTATTATTATTATTATATTGCGGTCATTCTATACACTCTGATGATATTACAGAACCAAAGTAATTAATCATCACTCAGTATCAATTAATCAATGAGATATCTAAAATTTATGATCAGATTACCTCGCTAGCCGTGCAAATTTATTTGAATGTCTGAACCGCTTGATGCTAAAATACCCTCCCCTCATTGGTCAGTTTAATTGTTGCATGCTGGGAAATCCCTATAATTAAGTGATCTACAGGTGATTGACATTATTGTAACTGTAAATTGTTTTATTTCAATCAATCAAGTTTTTCTTTGCAGTTCATTGTAATTCTGAAACGATGGGAATATATTCTCTGGCAGAATTTACTTGTAGTCAAAGTAATAAGCAAGACAGTTTATTTCAAAAATTCCTTTTTTTTTATTCCTCTTCAGGTTGAGAGAAAGTGCAGTCAGTGTGGCAATGACAGTATGATATATCACACAAAACAAACCAGATCCGCTGATGAGGGACAAACTGTGTTTTATTTATGTCCAAAATGCAAGTAAGTAGGTTGCGTGTAAAAATGGTGGTTATTTTCACAGATTCTTGACGAGCTGAACGTAACGATAGAACAAAAGGTATATTGGCTGGATCTTATTTTCACTGAATTATCCATACAGTAAAAATATAGTACACTGCATGACTCGCCCTCATCACTCAAAAGGGTGCATTATTTTTAACAAATCAGGCGATGAAATGAATCATATTCCAAGGTCCATTACTGCCTGCTCTAGATATATGAATGAATCATATTTGTGAAATACATGTATGAGTACTAACAGCTGCTCCACTCGCTACTGAAAAGTAGTGAAAAAAGATGGAGACAGCTGAGGTGAATATCTCTTGATACATACAGTGTTTTTGCTACAGATTCTATTTTCTTTGTTCAGGACTTGAGGACATGGATATATTTGATGACTGTTGCCTTATGACCCTTAAAGTTGCACTCCGAGATCATTTTTAGAATTTTATTGAGATATTGAAAAAATTACGTTAAATATTTAATGGTATGAATATGAGGGAGACGCAGTAATTTAGAATGGATGCAAGCTGTGCATGTGCAAAACTATTTGAAAAAGTTAGCAAATGATATTAAAACAATCAAATGAGAAACCGAAAAGATCACTAACTTTTGGATGTATTGAATATTATTAAAAAAATTAGATGTTTAGTACATAATTGTAGAATGATCCCAGAATGCAACTGTTGTGTAACATATTTAGTAATGTTTCACAGCTGGACCCTGGACCCTAGACATTTGATAAGTTGAGCATTGTGATCAAACAAATTGATAAAATTTATAATGGTTGAACAGTGTCAGTTAAAGGTGTCACTTGTCCTACCACATGATGGTTACCCCTATGATGTATATTCTTGAGTAAAAATGTGTTTCTTTCTTCAAACTGCTCAGGAAATTGACCTCCACTTTACGACAATTTACCAAGCTATAATAATTAAAGCAGCATACCAAGTTATTAGCAGTAACACCTGTTCCCCTTGAAATGATTCTAATCCCAAAGTTTCACAGCTTTAGTTTTTTTAGGAAATTAACCTTTTTAACCAGACAGTGCCTGAAAAATTAGTGAGCTTGTTTGTGTGCGTGTTATTAATATTACTCTTTTTGTTTTCCAGATTTCAAGAATCAGAATTCTCATGACCGGACACCCCAACCCTTCCAGTTTTAATTTATTTGTCATAACTTGTTTTTTCTGAAATGTTGTTGAAATTCTCAATAAAGGAAAGAAAATCCTCAAGAGGGGCCTAGGTTAATTTGTTTATGTTCAGAATCTGCATCTCGCTTCCAGAAGGTTGGTTTTTATGTATCAGTCAGACATTTCTGAAAATTAACAATTTACAAAATGTTGTAAACATATTTTTGTTATTGCCAGCCAATGTAAATATGCAGGTGGTAATAATGAATATTAAAAAGCGATGCTCGCTGCACTGTGTCCTGTTCGATATAGAACTCGTAGCAATATACACAACATGTGTAAAATACATTGTTTACATGAAATTCAAAGACGTGCTGCGTGACGACCACCGTCCTTTAATTAAACCAATGTATCCGCTGTACTAAGATTAAAATATGAATCCAGAGCATAGATACACCTAATGCCCCATATTTGTCACAAAAACAATCAACTACAGAAATAACCAATATGTTTAATATCAACCATTACCATGACTACAAGATCAGATGGTGAAATAGTGCATTTGGAACATTTTTGTTTTCAGTTATTACGTGTAATTTAAAGCGGGGGAGTCGTCACCTGCGCAGGCGTCAGATGGCCATAGCGTATCAATGTTTACAAACAAGCGTCTACCCATGAGCCTTTGCGTTTTTAGCATGTGTTTTTATCATCGCTTGGGACTTGATTCCTGCACGTGTGCAGGTGACGACCCTCTCGCTTTAATATTAGAAAATACTTTAAACAATAAAATTTTTACTGACTCGCAAAAACGACGATTTGATAAAAAAGATTCTGACCTTTCAACAACTCAATATCTGAACTATTTCACAACCATTCAGTGTTCTACAATTACTAAATGTTTGTTTTGTTGGAAAGTAATAGAAAAACTGCAAGAATGATGCAACAGTGAAGTAAAGTTATGTCTACTGTTATTGTGTTTTAGCCCAAGAAATGAGACAACATTTTTAGCACCGCTGTCGACTTTGTCGAGCGGAGCTTATCATATGAGTGATTGTCCGTCATCGTCCGTGTCAATGTTTTACTTTTTCGACTTCTTCTTGAAAACTACAAGCCTGAATGCTTTGATACTTTGTGTATATTACCTTGGGTAGACCTCTCTCAGGTTTATTCATTTCATGATGATATCTTCATTTCTCTAATTTTGGTGAATATTTTTGGTAAAAAGTTATATTTTCGACTTCTTGTTAAAAACCGCAAGTCCAATTGCTTCGATATTACATAGATAGGTACTACATGGTACTCTCTCAGATTTGTTAATTTTGTAATATCTTCAAATTCTCTAATTTTGGTGAATATTTTTGACTTTTTGTTGAAAACTGCAAGTCCGATTGCTTTTATATTACATATATAGGAA